CCTTATCCGAACGCCGTATTAAATACGTTAGATATCACATTCACGTTTATCGTATATCTACATAATATACAAAGACCATTCTGCGCGATTCGTCGATGCGCAAAGTTTGTTCAAACATGCTCGATATTTGTATGTAATTTATCTCTTGGATACACTTTGTTTCCTTTTACGGTAGACGATTTTTACCGCAATTAATTAGAACGAACCTAGAACGAAAAAAATAAACTACGTACTCCTGCGCGGCTATTTAGATAATAAATAAATATCCGTATGTGAAGAATAAAATTGTACAAAAATAAAAGAACTAATTTTCTAACAATCTTCAATTTTTCGAGAAAGAAAAATAGCTTCGGTTACTTTAACTCTCCGGGAATTAAATTAAAATTAATTGAATTCATTTCTGGAAATACTTTTCTGACGAAAGCGATTCACATGCGATCTTTACTTATCGATAGCAAGATCACTAGTTCGATGCAGTTGATTAAGTTGTCATTTCATATTATTTGAATTATAGTCTCGATATCATTCAACGCACGATTAAAAGTAAAATTAGAAGGATATCTTTTACGTTTCATAAATAAATAATTTCATTAAGCGCGAGAGGCCGGATAAAACAGCTGTATATATCCTGTAAAGCAATTTGTCTTTGTCACATCTGTGAATTTATATTAAGCAAAATGCTTTTCGATGAAACAATCGGTCAATCTGCGCCATAGCGAGTGATTTTTTTCGGGACTTTTCGGGACTTTTTCGGTCCGGCGTATTTACGTATAATTATTTTATTCAATCGGGAGGAGATCGCGCCTCTTCCCGGTGACGGGTCGACTAGTTTAGAACGACGCGCGGATTGCCGGGCTCTGGATTTATGATTATCCATTAACACCTTCTTGACGGGGCTGACGTTACGTCGCGTGCGTTGTTTGCCATATTTGCCGTGCGTTGTTTGTCGGATGGATAACAAAGCCCCCAGCGACTAATCTGCCATCGCATAAGCAGCTCGGCAAACCCTTCCTATCGATTCCTCCGTACGCTCTCGCAGCTACAGACTAAATATGCACACGCGATCGAGAGATTTTGGGGACGGTAACACGTCGCGATTCAGAAGGCGGTTGACGATATTTGGACGTCGCTAAATTTTCCTGCCAAAACACGCGATGCGCAACATCGCCATATGTAATTGGCAATCGGAGCTTTCGCGTCGCGACGCTGTCGAGCTTAAGGTCGGCATATGTGAGTTTTCTTCTTGGGCGTTTATCGACATTGGCATACCGGGTATTTAAATGTTAATATGCTTTGACAATGATTACACGCTACGACGATTTCTGAAAAAATATACATTTTTTTTGGAACCTAAAAATGTCGATATTTGATACAATATATTTACTTAACGGCTGTTTCTGATTGCGTCAAAAGTGTTTTATTGCATGTTAAATTTGTACTTATTTGTTAACAAAGATAATATTTTATTTGTTAAATAAAATAATTGTGGAGCATCATTGCAATTGTATAAAAGTAAGTCCATTTTATGATGATATATTTGTACCGTGATTACTCGTAATTAATTGAAATTTCAAAATACATTTGATCCATGCTTCAACTTGAGCAATTTGATTTCGAGATCACCGAGGAATCGATAATCTTCGTCGATTCAAGTTATCATATGGATCAATTTGACAATGGAATGTATATAGTTGGAATTTCTATGGTCGTCAATCCATGGTATGTATTTTGTCGGATGGCAGATTCATCAAAATTTTTATTCAGTCTATTCTCACAGATATTTTTTTATTAATTACTATTCATATCATATTTATGATAATTTTTAAATTAATAGGAGAAAAATGAAAATTTCACTTTATATCGTACAATACTCAATTCCAATTTAAGTAATTCGTCGTTTAATTAGTACTTACTCCAACTATTGTTGATTCTCAAGCATCAACGATTCCGCCATCGACAAAATGAATATTTCGCAATTTGTCTCAGAGCGAATCAAAAAGATTGTTAGAAGCATCAGTCAAAATTGATGACAATCACTGTAAATATTGACTCGTTTCGAGAAGCCAATCGTCTTCGATTATACTGACATGATCTGCAAACAACTCGACATTGTCGCGAAGCACTTCTGTATCTCATCTTGCGAAATGCGAATGTTGAATATATCAGATGTCCTGCAAACCGCGCGTGCTTTCTCTCGATTGAGAATTCCTCAACAATTCTGAAAAATCACGTTCTTCTTATGAAAGACTAGGTAATGACAATTAAATTTCTCATCGAAATTTCGTTCAGGCAAAAGTCCACTCGGAGTTAATTCGAAAGTCTTTACTTTTTTTTCGTGGATATTACAATGTTTCGCTGATAACCCAACAAGAGAACCGACTCCATGAGAGCCTCAAAATTTCTCAATCTGCTCTCTATTAAAATTCTAAAACCGTACTCCCCTCGTACTTTCCGCGATACGGAGAAGACGCGCGACTTCCCGGACATCCCGTACGTCGTCACTCGCGACGCCGCGTTAAGCGTCCGGCTAAATCACGAAGAAAGACACGCGGCGCGCACACACACACACACACACACACACACACACACACACACACACACACACACACACACACAC